TCCTCCGCTGGGAATCTCCTGGTGCCTGAGCAAGAAAAATTCATCTGAAAGTGTGGCATCCTCTCGTTCTCTGCACTTTCACTGGGAGCTACAATCCCGAGCTGCTAGTGATCAGCCATCTTAGATCTCTCTCCAAGAGGTTTTGTTCTTGAATTTTGCTGGTCATCCTCATGGTTCCAAGCCCCAAACTCCGGGTGGTGCAGGCAGCCAGAGGGGGTGGCTGGGGGCCCACGTGGCCTGTCCTGGTGGCGCTGGCAGTCTGTGGAGCAGCTGTGCCCCGTCTTGCCACAGATCATGCATGGCTGCCATGTGAGCTAAAACATCCATTTATTTCAAAGCAATAATAATTTAAAATTATAAAAATCTTTCCACTGCTGAACTTTTAGAGGGTGAGGTTAGACAAAGGTGGGAGGGGGTTGGGGGACGCCCCAGAGGGGACCATGTGGCTCATACTTTCTGGAGCCAGTGGGCCAGTGGGCTGTATAAAGATATTGTTAAAGCTGCTAAAGCTGTATAAAGCTATTAAAAATAAGTATGGCTTCAGTCACGTCAAAGCAATTTGGAGGATTGTTTCTCTTGTTGGCCCTGAACCTTGCACATCAGAGGGTTGAGCCGCTCACATCCTGGCTGGTGAGTGCTGCAGGCCCCCGCCTGTTCCACGGGTCCTGCCTGCCACGAGCACCGGCCCACGCGGGCTCAGGAGTTACTTGTGGTGTTCTAGTTGCCTAGTTGCTGGGCGAGCTGCAGGAGGAGGACGATGCGGAGGAGAAGCTCATCCCAGCCAGGCCCAGGGGGTTCGTGGCCGTGTTCTGTCCAGTGAGGCTGTTTCGGCAGACAGGGCAGCTGTCGCGCTGCTCCAGCCAGGGCACGACGCAGCCGCCGTGGAACAGGTGGCTGCAGGGCAGCTGGCGCTCGCGCTCGCGCAGCCGGTAGTCGTCCTTGCACACCGGGCACTGGAGTCCGGAGCGCACGTGCTCCTCGGTGACGGGGACGGTGGGGAGGGCCTGGATTTTCTCTTTATCTGCCGGTGGGGGGCACGTGCTTTCAAGCTGCGTGATGGCGTCCAGGCCGTTGGCTCCCCAGGCGGGGACCGTAGGGTTTGGGTACTGGACTCCCCCAGGACCCAGGCGGGGGATGGTGGCCGGCTTGGTGAGGCCGGCGCGGGGCTGCCAGGCGCTGGGCGGGGCGGGGACTGATGCTCTCCCTCCCGCCGGCTCTCAGGGTCCTGGCCGTCGTCAGCCTGTGCCCCAGGAGAGAACGTGGGGATCTCCATGCAGTCGTCAAAGATGCCCAAAGCAAACTGCTCGAAGTCCTGCGGCCGCATGCACAGGTGCTGGTCCAGGTTCTCCAGCGGCGGCAGGCTCTGGTCCGTGGGGGCTGCGAGGGGGCAGAAGCGTTTTCTGTGCTCCTGGTCTCTTCCGGAAGCTCCTCGATAAAACCAAACTCGCATCCCGGGCAGATAGAATCCGGCAGGCGCGGGACGATCTCCACGGAGCAGCGGTGGCAGAAGTACCGTCCCAGGCGCCGGGACGCCTCCTCCATCTGCCTCAGCCTCCCAAAATGCTAGGATTACAGGCATGAGCCACTGTGCCCAGCCTGATTTAATATTTTTGGACTACAGTTGACCGCAGGTAACTGAAATCGTGGATAAGTGGGGACTACTTGATTTTTTGTTTGAATTTTCTAGCTAAGACTATCAGGGTTTTTTAAAAAGTATTTTGTTGTTTTGAGACAGAGTTTTGCTCTTGTTGCCCGGGCTGGAGTGCAATGGCGCCTCACTGCAACCTCAGCCTCCCAGGTTCAAGAGATTCTCCTGCCTCAGCCTCCTGAGTAGCTGGGATTACAGGCATGCACCACCATGCCCAGCTAATTTTTTGTATTTTTAGTAGAGACGGGGTTTCACCGTGTTGACCAGGATGGTCTCGATCTCTTGACCTCGTGATCCACCTGCCTCGGCCTCCCAAAGTGCTGGGATTACAGGCTTGAGCCACCGCGCCCAGCCTAATTTTGTATTTTTAGTAGAGATGGAGTTTTTCCATGTTGGTCAGGCTGGTCTCAAACTCCCGACTTCAGATGATCCACCCTCCTGGGCCTCCCAAAGTGCTGGGATTACAGGTGTGAGCCACTGCACCTGGGCTTTAACTTTTGTTTTGTTTTGTTTTTGAGACAGGGTTTCTCTTTGTTGCCCAGGTTGGAGTGCAGTGGTGCCATCCCAGCTCACCTTTCTGCCTTCTAGGCTCAAGCAATCATCCCACCTCAGCCTCCCTCACAGCTGGGACTACAAGTGCCTGCAACCATGCCTGGCTAATTTTGTGTTTTTTGTAGAGAAGCATTTCACAATTTCACCATGCTGCCCAGGCTTATCTTGAACTCCTGGGCTCAAGTGATTCACCTGCCTCAGGCTTTCAAAGTACTGGGATTACAGACGTGAGCCACATGGCCAAGAATATCAATTTTACCTTTAACAGATATTTTCCTTTTTCTTTTTCTTTTCTTTTCTTTCTTTCTTTTCTTTTCTTTTCTTTTCTTTATTTATTTATTTATTTATTTATTTATTTATTTTTTTTTTTACAGGATCTCACTCTGTTACCTGGGCTGGAGTGCAATGACACTGCAATCTCAATCTCTTGGGCTCAAGTGATTCTCCCACCTCAGGCTCCCAAGTAGCTGGAACCACAGGCATGCACCACCCTATTTGGCTACTTTTTAAAATTTTATGTAGAGGCCAGGTCTCACTATGCTGCCCAGGCTGGTCTTGAACCCCTGACTCAAATGATCCTCCTGCCTTACCTCCCAAATTGCTGGAATTACAGGCATGAGCCATCGCACCTAGCCAACAGTTATTTTTCTTTACTGCAAGAGCTTTACATTGTCATGGCAGAAAAGATTAGACTGTATAGATTAAATTAAAAAATAAAATTATGTTACCCCACATTTAGAGATAGCCACTATTTGCCTTCAGATATACTCCTCCAGGGCAGTTTTAATCTCGATGCAGGAATATATATGCTCCCAAGTCCTTCAACTTTCTGTGGTTGCCTGTTCTTTGACAGCCAAATAAAATGTCTTGGTCCCATGCCACATGCTGAGGGACATCAAGTCTTCTTCTGGTAATTTTCCAGTCCCTGATTCAGCTGAATTCCCACATCCATTTCCTGACAGGTCTGTCTGCTCTCTTCTCTGTTTTGTCCCTGCACCCTCTACTTTGTCTCCATCTATCTCCTCCTTTGTCCCCAAAAGTCACCAAGCACTAAGTGGATAACAGATTCTTCTTCTTCTTTTTATTGTTTGTTTTTTGAGTGTCACTGTGTCGCCCAGGCTAGAGTGCAGCGGCGTGATCTTGGCTCACTACAACCTCCACCTCCTGGGTTCAAGTGATTCTCCTGCCTCAGCCTCCCAAGTAGCTGGGGCTACAGATGCGCGCCACCACGCCCGGCTAATTTTTTGTATTTTTAGTAGAGACGGGGTTTCACCGTATTAACCAGGATGGTCTCGATCTCTTAACCTCATGATCCACCTGCCTTGGCCTCCCAAAGTGCTGGCATTACAGGCGTGAGCCACCAAGCCCGGCCTGGGAACAGATTGTTCTGTACTGGAGTTCAGGATCAAGATGGTGAGCCCAGCCAAGCAGAAAGTGGGAGATGACATAAGGTTCAGCACTGGCCATTGCTGCCAGCCATGGAGATGTCTGGTGGACTTCTGAGTCCAAGGTCCTGGCCTTCTGCCATCTTGGTCTTCTCCCTTCCACCTCTAACCAGGTCCTTCTCCACTTTGCTACACACGTCAGGGCCCTAAAACAGTCTTTCTGACCGATCAGAGAGAAAGATCAGATTCCTGGCACTTCTGCTGTGCAGAACAGCTTAGCTCATCTATGCATCTATACTTTTCTCTCCTGATAGAGCATGTCCAGGTACGTGCTCTTTCACATTGGTGGGGAGGGCTGAGAGTGGGGTGAGGATGGAAACAAAAAAAAAAAAAGAGAGAGAGAGAGATCAAGAGGCTTTCCAAAACTAGGAAACAAGGTGTCACAGGGCCCTAAGACCACCCTCTGGTTCAATGATTCATCTGAAGGGCTCACAGACCTTAAAAAAATGGTTAGACTCATATTTTAGTTCATTGCATTGAAAGAATACAGATTTACATTCTGATCTAGTTTGAATGAAGAAAGAAAGAAGGGAAGAAGGAAAGGAAAGAGGGAAGGAAGGAAGGAAGGAAGGAAGGAGAAGGAAAGAAAGGGGAGGGGAGAGGGGGGAGAGGGGAGCAGAGGACAAGGGAAAGAAATGGAAGGGAAGAAAGAATACAGATTACCAACCAGCCTGAGCAACATGGCAAAACCCCGTTGCTACCAAAAAAAAAAGAAAATTAGCTGGGTGTGATGGGGTGCCTGTAGTCCCAGCTACTGGGGAGATTGAGGTTGGAGGATCACCTGAGCCTGGGAGGTAGAGGTTGCAATGAGCCAAAATCATACCACTTCACTCCAGCCTGGCAGACAGAGACCCTGACTCAAGAAAAAAAACAAGAAAGAAAGAGAAAGGAAAAAGGAAGAAAGAAAGAAAATACCATCATTTGCTTAACTGATCCCATATTATTAGACATTAACTTGTTTTCATTTTCACTGTAATAGCTAACACTTTAACAAATAGCCCTGTAATTATGATGGTTGTGCTTTGTCCAGAGCTGTTATGACTCAAAGAGAAATTCCCACATGATTATTTCCTGGTTCACCTTATGAGGAGGGAGAGCTTCTGTCAGGCTAAATCCTAACACATCTGTCTAGGGGGCCTTACAAGTGTTGTGGCCCCAGGATAGTTACAGGGAGCTGTTTACAGACAATGGGACAATGGGAAGCTGTCCACCTTGATTCCCTGCCCCATCCTCCAAATGGAAGGTGCCTCTCTCTAGAGTCCATCTTGAGGCCTCTGGATTCCTCCTCTTCATTCTACTCTTCCTCTGTTGTCCTGCCCCTCCCCCACCCCACCCTCAGCCCGGGTGCTTCTCACCTTGGAGATCTGCTGTGTCTCAGTCCAGAAACTGCTTTTACAGAGCTGTAAGGAAAGAGGAACTCAAACCAAACCTTAGGGTGCGGTGAATGAACAAGAGAAGGAGAGGAATACATCAAAAATACTCATTGTGAGTTGGACACGGTGGCTCCTGCCTCTAATGTCAACACTTTGGGAGGTCAGGGCAGATGGATTCCTTGAGCCCAGGAGGTCAAGACCAGCCTAGGCAACACAGTGAGACCCCATCTCTACAAAATATTAAAAAACCAGCCAGGCATGGTGGCATGCACCAGTAGTCTCAGCTACTTGGGAGGCTGAGGTGGAAGGATCGCCTGAACCCAGGAGGTTGGTGCTGCTCTAAGCCGTGATCTAGCCACCACACTCCAGCCTGGGTCACAGAGAAAATACGCATTGGAACATTTGGAGCTAGAACTCTGCCACAAAACAAAAGCAGCATCTTCATCTTTCATTCAATAGTTCCTTAAGATAGGTTACAATGTATTAGGCATTGATAATGGTTTGGCTGTGTCCCCACCCAAATCTCATCTTGAATTGTAGCTCCCATAATTCCTAAGTGTTGTGGGAGAAACTCGGTGGGAGGTAATTGAATCATGGGGGCGGCTCCCTTGACACTGTTCTTGTGGTAGTGAATAAGTCTCATAACATCTGATGTTTTTATAAGGCATTTCCCCTTTCGCTTGGATCCCAATTCTCTCTTGTCTGCTGCCATGTGGGATGTGCCTTTCTCCTTCCACCATGATTGTGCGGCCTCTAAGGCATATGGCACTGTGAGTTCATTGACCCTCTTTTCCTTTGTAAAATGCCCAGTCTTGGGTATGTCTTTGTCAGCAGTGTGAAAACAGACTAATTCAGGCATTGATTGTTACAAGCACTTTCCAAATATTAACTTAATTTTCCTAGTATCCTATGAGCTTAGGAACTGTTATTATCCTTACATTACAGACGTGGAAATTGAGGAATGAGGATGTTGAGTAATTTACTCAAGGTCATGCAGCTGTAACTGGCAGAGATGAGATTCCAACCTAGGCCGTCTGCCTCTCTGTCTGCTATGTGACCTCGCCTTGGGAGTGAAATTGAAAAGAATGCAAGCATTTCAAGAATTTCAAAATGGTTGCCCTCCTGAAGGTTTTTATCTATTTTAAACTTCTGTGCAAACAGAACTGTATTCCTTCAATAGTTATTTGTGGAGTGCTTACTATGTGCCAGATCCTGGAGCTACATGGATGAACCAGACATAAGCCTACTGTCAAGGAGTTTCTAGAAAACAGGGCAAGCACCATTCTTGGCTGTCTGTGCTGTGGTATAGACAAAAGCAGGTGCCCCGGAGCAGTCAGAACCATACTTTGTTTAGTTTTAGGGTTAGAAAAGAGTTCCTGGGCCCAAGTGCAGTGGCTCATGCCTATAATCTCAGCTTTTTGGAAGGCCAAGGCAGGAGGACTGCTTGAGTCCAGGAGTTCAAGACCAGCCTGGGCAATACAGTGAGATCCTGTCTTTACAGACTTTAAAAATTAGCCAAATATGGTGGTGCACACCTGTGGTCCCAGCTATTTGGGAGGCTGCGGTGAGAGGATTGCTTGACCCTGGGAGGTCAAGGCTGCAGTGAGCCATCACTGCACTCCAACCTGGGTGACAGACCCTGTCTCAAAAAAATAAATAAATAAAAATAAAAGAAAGAAAAGAAAAAGAAAAGACTTCCTTCAGGGCAGGATTTATTAACTAAGAGCTGGACTGATAAGGAAGAGTTAGCCCGGAGAGGGGGGACTTTGGAACTATAAACAATAGGGCTACATTACAGCTTTTAAGGTCCCTAAGCATTTCACTTTGATGGCCCCTCCCTCCATTAAACAAATATATTAAAATGCATATTTTATGGCAGTGTTGGTATAAACATATACATTACTATTATATATTAAAACACTTGCTGAGTGAGGTGGCCCACACCTGTAATACCAGCATTTTGGGAGGCCGAGGCAGGCCGATCACGAGGTCAGGCGTTTCATGAACTGCCTGGCCAACATGGTGAAACCCCGTCTCTACTAAAAGTATGAAAATTAGCTGGGCGTGGTGGTGGGTACCTGTAAGCCCAGCTACTCAGGAGGCTGAGGCAGGAGAATCACTTGAACCCAGGTGGTGGAGGGTGCAGTGAGCTGAGGCCGCACCATTGCACTCCAGCCCAGTAACAGAGCGAGACTCCATCTCAAAAAACAAAACAAAACAAAACAAAACATTTTTATGATTTAAAAGTCCATTGCTATTCTTTCTGATTGTAAAGAAATTAAAACATGTTCATAGGTCCCTAAAAATATTGTGGCCCTTAGGTGCTGTGCCTTCGGGAGTCAGCAGAAATCAAGCCTGGAGGTGGCAGGTGCAGGTGAGAAAGACCTTTGTCAGCCAAGAAAAGGGTTTAGATGTGATCCTGAAAGTTCTGGGAGCTACATGTGGGTCTGAAGGAGGGCAATTTGAATGGATTCATTTCAGAAAGATCCTGTAGCTTCAGTGTAGAGCAAGGCTGGGAGGACAGGCTGGAGGTGGAGTCATGGGCTCTGAGTGTGTCAGAGGATCCAGGGGAGATCTGAGGCCACCCACAACCTAGGAAGGAGCCCAGGGAAGGGGGCAGACAAACTTCGAGACTAACAAGGTAAAATCAACAGGACTTGGCAACTGGTCAAATGCAGGGGTGAGGGGAGGGGCATCCAAGGAGAGTCCCAGGTTTGGGACTTGGGTGCCTGAGTAGAGTCATTTGTTACACTGGGGATAAAAAGAAAAGGAACAGATTGGAGGGCACAGTAGGAAAAAATAGTTAAGCTTTTATTTTTTAGCAATATTGAGTTTGTGATGCCTTTGATACATCCATGAGAAGAGATTTTTCAGAGGTAATGGGTCAAATGGTTCTTAAAAAATTGCAGTGATTTAAAAAGCATTGGCCAGGTGTGGTGGCTCACACCTGTAATCCCAGCACTCTGAGAGGCTGAGGCAGGCAGATAACAAGGTCAGGAGATTAAGACCATCCTGGCCAACATGGTGTTAGAGACAGAACGCTTGTTCCTAGGTACTACAAGGAAAAATTAGCACTCAGACAAAAAGTTTTCTCAGCAAGGCAATTTTACTTTCTGCAGAAGGTGTGCTCCCGTTAGCCATCTTGCCATGAGAATACAATGAACAAAGGACAGGCAGGCGTATTTATTCCTTACGCATTGAGTCTTTACTGCGGCATTCAGTCTTCGTTGGTTGGAGACAGACCTCACAATCTAAACTGACCCCAACTGGCTAACAACTTATAACTTTTCTAAATAGGTAAAGGCAACAGAGAACAAAGGAAAAGAGGAAGTCCAAATAAGGAATGGAGAGGAAGTTGCTTGGGAAAGGACTTAGAATGTGCTACATGCCTGTGAGCACACCCAGCACAAATATCTTGGTTAAAGTACAAGGACATAGAATGCACTTATTCCCTTATATCTAACAGCTACATAGGACAGGGCTTAACAAAGACTTACTAGCAAAATGCAAGAAAGCTTTGAAGAAAGTTAGTCTTTAAAATAAACTATTATTTCTAACATTTATTATTATTCTTCTTTAACAAGAAGGGAAACTTTGAAGAGGAACTTTTTACTTTCTACACGTGGTAAAACCCTGTCTCTACTAAAATCCAAAAACTTAGCTGAGTGTGGTGGGATACACCTGTAGTCCCAGCTACTTGGGAGGCTGAGGCAGGGGAATCTCTTGAACCTGGGAGACGGAGGTTGCAGTGAGCTGAGATTGTGCTACTGCGCGCCAGCCTGGTGACAAAGCAATACTTCGTCTCAAAAAAAAAAAAGTTTATTCCATGTTAGCCAATTTAAGTTTCCCAGAAGTTCTCAGAGCAACTCCCATTGCTGACCTGACACTGTACAGCTCTAGTGAGGGTTCAGCCAACTCGCATAGCAAGATGCTAAGATGAGGCCAACTGGCTTCCCAGATAACACAGAAGGAACAAATCCCAGAGTTTCATTCCAGCCACACTTAACCGAATGTAGGAAAAATCTGATGTTCCTGCGAGGCCTGAGAGCTGTTGAGAATATATGTATAGTAAAGTAGCCTAGGGCAGGGGAATCACCAGATCATCTTGTGATCAAACAAGTGGACAGGACTTCGCCAGGCACTTTTCGTGTTAGCTCACCCCCCCAACAATCCCACTAGCAAAGTGTTATTCACCTCTTTAACAGAAAAGTTAAACAATTTTCCTGCGGTGACCCAGCCAGGAAGTGGGATTGGAGCTGGGTCTGTTTTACTCTAGGACCTAAACTCTTTTCTGTGGATCAAAAAGATGGATAGGCCAGGTGCAGTGGCTCACGCCTGTAATCCCAACACTGGGAGGCAGAGGTGGGAAAATAGCTTTAGCCCAGGAGTTCGAGACCAGCCTGGGCAACATGGTGAGACTCCATCTCAAAAGAAGTAAAACTAAAAAATTAGCCAGGCGTGGTGACACGTGCCTGTGTTCTCAGCTACTTTGGGGAGTTGAGGACGGAGGGTCACTTGAACCTAGGAAGTTGAGACTGCAGTGAGCTGTGTTTGCAACACTACACTCCAGCCTGGGCAACAGAGCAAAACCCTGTCTTGAAAGAAAAATTAAAAAGATGGATAGCAGTGCTGAGCTTTGGGACTGTTCATGTCATTGAAACTTAGCTGTTCAGCTAAGTTTTTGTATTTTAGTAGAGACAGGGTTTTACCACATGTAGAAAGTAAAAAGTTCCTCTTCAAAGTTCCCCTTTGAAAATGCCATGAACAACTGTTCATGGGGCTGTTCTGGGTTGTTAGCAAATAATAACACAATGAACATTCATTGCCCTGTGCTAAGGCTCTTATGTATATAATTTCATTTGCTTCTCCTAGTAACCCTATAGAAAAGGTACTATTATTGCCTTGCTTTTGCTGATGAGATTAAGGTACAGAGAATCTGAATAATGTGTCCAAGGTCACACTCCTCATAAATGGCAGAGCTGGGACTGAAGCCCATTCATGCCACATGCTGTGCTCCTACGAGAAACAGGAACCAGCAGCTCTTGGCACCGACCCTAACCCCAACAGTTCTAAAGCCCTGTTCAGGGCAGGAGGAGGGACACACCTGTCCAAATCATTCCTTCATGAGCTTTGAAACCAGGCAGTGCTAAATTCACACGGAGCCAGTAACGCACCGTGAGGACCTTGGCCTCCAGCCTCCTCTTCTCCAGCTGTCGCTGCCTGCTCCTTCTGCCATTTTCCAGGATTGTGTTGTGAATACACAGGGAAACAAAAGTGCTACAACCACGTCTGTGTCCAGCCCCTTTCTGTCTCGCTTTCTGCGCAACATCAATAGACCACAGTGACCCTAAAGTTTCCCCAGAAAGAGGCTGCTCACTACACTCACAACAGTAGTGAATAATGTGAAATTTACTGACAGTTTCAAGGCAGAGCTGGGGAAGAGGATCTACTGAAAACAATTTCATTTTTATTCTTCCATACTTCTTTTCAGCCTGCCACCCATTTCTTGCCACACCCCCACCCCCACCACCTGGCTTTTCTCCCCATACATCCCCTGCCAGGATAGGGTGGTGACCCAGAGGGGACTTCTCTCTTCTCCATGTCTTGCTCTTTCCTGTGGTTTTTCTTGGACCCCTGCTCCAGTTAACCACCACCTTTTCTTTTCTTTTTTTTTTTTTTTTTTAAGACAGAATTTCACTCATGTTACCCAGGCTGGAGTGCAATGGCGCGATCTCGGCTCACCGCAACCTCTGCCTCCTGGGTTCAGGCAATTCTCCTGCCTCAGCCTCCTGACTAGCTGGGATTACAGGCACGTGCCACCATGCCCAGCTAATTTTTTGTATTTTTAGTAGAGACGGGGTTTCACCATGTTGACCGGGATGGTCTCGATCTCTTGACCTCGTGATCCACCTGCCTCGGCCTCCCAAAGTGCTAGGATTACAGGCTTGAGCCACCGTGCCCGGCCTAACCACCACCTTTTCTTATGCAGCACCCTTGCATGCCTCCCTCCAGCCCAGGTGGTTTGTTAAAGTGTTTCTTCTGAGTAAGTGCCATTCTCTCCCTGCAAGGGGCTCCCTTGGCCAGTGCCCCTTTGCTGGAAGCTCTTTTTTTTTTTTTTTTTTTTTTTTTTTTTTTTTGAGATGGAGTCTCGCTCTTTCGGCAGTAGCACAATCGTGGCTCACTGCAACCTCTGCCTCCCGGGTGTAAGCAATTCTCCTGCCTCAGCCTCCCAGGTAGCTGGGACTATAGGCACCCGCCACCATGCCTGGCTAATTTTTTTTTGTATTTTAGTAGAGACGGGGTTTCACCACGTTGGCCATGATGGTCTCGATTTCCTAGCCTCGTAATCCGACAGCCTCGTCCTCCCGAAGTGCTGAGATTACAGCCGTGAGCCACCACGCCCGGCCGGGATAACTTTAACAGAAGAGGAAGTTAAAGAAATTTCCCAGAAGGCAGAGCAAAAAGACAAAGAAGACCAGTTCAAGAGCTTCAGAGTCCATGAATTCTATCGAACATTTAAGAAAGAAATAATGCTAATTTTACACAAACTCTTTCAGAAAATAAAGAAGGAAAGAACACTACAACACTTCTCAATTCATTTTGATGAAGACAGCATGACCCTGATTGCAAATCCCGACAAAGACATTGCAAGCAAATTTTAGACTACCATCCCTCATGAACACAGATGCGAACACCCTTAACAAAATACCAACAAATCAAATCCAGCAATTTTTGTATTTTTAGTAGAGACAAGGTTTCACCATGTTGGCCAGGTTGGTCTCGAACTCCTGACCTCAAGTAATCCACCCACCTCAGCCTCCCAAAGTGCTGGGATTACAGGCATGAGCCACCATGTCCAGCCTGCTGAAGCTCTTTAGCAAAAGGACAACAATAAAAATGTCCGTCACAGCCGGAGCTGCTGTGCTTGCTGGGGAGGGGAAGCACGGCTGCCTTTGCCTGCACTGGCCTCTCCCCTAATTCCTCCATTTCCAAAGGTCACTGGTTTCAAACGTCTCGGCAAGTCTGTCTTGAGCTCCGCTTTTCCCATCTGTGGGTTTCTAGCTCCTCCTAACAGCAAGAGGGATTTGTCTCTGAAGATTGTCAAAGGTAGTGGCAAGAACCTCACAGAGAGCAATTACCTTGAAGAGCCCTCCCTGGAGAACAGGCTCTTTCTCTCCCAAATTGGAAAATCCTCACATTGTGCCAGCTAGTCCAGAGGGCATTGGAACTTTACCAGCCGAAACACTCACAACTCTTAAAGGGAAAGTGAGCAAGGAACAAAAGCAACCGTCAAGGGGCCATGGCAGGAGCCAGGTGGCTTTTAAAGATAAAGCACAAGGTAAGAACAAGCTGTGACCCTCACGGAACACAATGGAACACAGCGTTAAATCCATCTCAGAAACAGCCATCACCGAATAAAGCTAAATTCAGGATTGTTTTTCTCCCGAGAAAGTATAGATTTCATTGCCAAGTACTACAGCCAACCCCAGTGCCCTGGAGGTGAAATGTCTATTTTGAAAAAGACATAACATCAGAAACATCCTGATGCCCATAGGTAAAGGGATGATATGAACCACTGAAGGTTACTTATTTATTATAGTAACAGAATAGCCCCAGCCTGGACAACATGGAGAGACCTTGTCTCTCTCAAAAATTTAAAAAGTGGCTAGGTGTGGCAGTGTTTGCCTGTAACCCAGCTACTTGGGAGGCTGGGAGGATGAGGTGGGAGGATCACTTGAGCCCAGGAGGTCAAGGCTGCAACGAGCTGTGATCCTACTCTAGCCTGAGTAACAGAGCAAGACCTTGTCTCAAAAAAAAAAAAAAAAAAAAAAAAAAGAATGGCTATCCTGGCATGGCACTGTGGCTCACATCTGTAATCTTAGCACTTTGGGAGGTCGAGGCCAGTGGATTGTTTGAGCTCAGAAGTTTGAGATTGGTCTGGACAACATGGTGAAACCCCATTTCTACAAAAATACAAAAAATCAGTTGGATGTGGTGACTCACGCCTGTACTCCCAGCTACTTGGAGGCTGAGGTGGGAGGATCCCTTGAGAGGCAGAGGTTGAAGTGAGCCAAGATTGCGCCACTGTGTGCCAGCCTGGGTGACAGAGTGAGACAAGAATGGCAAACTTGGCTACAGGTTTCTTTTTAATCAAATCAAACCCTTTTCAGCTGGGTTGAGAGCAAGCTCCTGAAGCTTCAATCCGGGGTTAGTTTGGGAAAAAGAAGAAATCTTACAGAAACTGGCCAGGACACATCACGCCTAGGTTGGCAGAGGACATCGATGGGGGCAATCTAGTCCAGAGTGAGCTCTGTAGGCCAGAGGACACCAGACCGAGGTATGTCACTGATGATGCTCTTTAATTCCAGGAGTCCGTTGGATGCAGCTCTAGCTTTTTAGTCTGACCCTAATGTTCTCTGCTGACAAATTCCTTTATTTTCTTTCGAGACAGGGTCCCACTGTCACCCAGGCTGAAGTGCAGCGGCATCATCACGGCTCAGGTGGTCCTCCTACCTCAGCCTCTCAAGTAGTTAAGACTACAAGCACGCACCACCATACCTGGCTAATTTTTGTATTTTTTTTTTTTTTTGTAGAGACAGGGGTTTCACCATGTTGCCCAGGCTGGTCTATAACTCCCTGGCTCAAGTGATCCTCCCACCTTAGCCTCCCAAAGGACTGGGATTACAGGCATGAGCTTCCGTGCCCAGCTCAGCTGACAAATTCTAATGGCAGAAAAGATCAAATACCAGGATTGCTTGTAAACATCACAGCAAAATATTGTACTTACTTCACTGCCCCCTGAAGTGACCACATTTTTGTTTTGTTTTGTTTTGAGACAGGGTCTCACTCTGTCACCCAGGTAGGAGTGCAGTGGCATGACCATAGCTCACTGTAGCTCAACTTCCTGGGCTCAAGTGATCCTCCCACCTCACCCTCTTAAGCAACTGGAACTACAGGCACACACCACCATGCCTGGCTTTTTTTTTTTTTTAATTTTTATTTTTATCTGTAGAGATAGGATCTCGCTATATTGCCCAAGCTGGTCTACAACTCCTGGGCTCAAATGATCGTCCTGAGGAAGGAGGCCCAGGCATCTGAGATTACCTCCCCTCTTCTATCTTCCACAGTGCATTTCAATAGAAGAAAGAGCAGGCCAGCTGGCACCTCCTGAATCTCCTTCCTGTAAATAACACGCTTGGTAGTGGGGAAACTTTCCAGAAGACACTGTTTTTACTTAAAACAAGATCAAACCCCCATCCCACTCCTCCATCCGGAGACCAAACCTTTTCACATGTGATTCCTGAAACCCTTTCATATGTGATTTCTAAGGCTGTAACCCTAAGATTCTTCCACATGTAATATCTAGAGTATAAGCCTATGTAAAGGCAGAACCTCTCTTTGTTAGATGAGCTGAGTTTAGACAAGTTATTGCTCAGCTCCCGGCGGTAATTATAATAAACTCTTTCCTTCTTCATTCAGTGTTCGAGAGCTCTGTTTCTCGAGGCCGCTCCTGCTACAGTCCCACCTCAGCCTCCCAAAGTGCTGAGATTATGTGTCTGAGTCATTGCATCTAGCCAGTGACCACTTTTGAGGAACAAAAAAACAAATTTCCAATCCTAACATATCATAGATCTGAGCCCCAAAGCATCTGTGTCTGCACCAGATTTGATTTGCTTTAAGTACATTTAAAAAAAAGAAATCAATAGTCCAGGTGTGGTGGCTCATGCTGTAATCCCAGCAGTTTGGGAAGCCAAGGCGGGCAGATCACCTGAGGTCGGGAGTTAGAGACCAGCCTGACCAACATGGAGAAATCCCGTCTCTACTAAAAATACAAAATTAGTCAGGCGTCATGGCGTGTGCCTGTAGTCCCAGCTACTGGGGAGGCTGAGGAAGGAGAATCACTTGAACCCAGGAGGCGGAAGTTTCGGTGAGCCGAGATCGGGCCATCGCACTCCAGCCTGGGTGACAAGAGTGAAACTCTGTCTCAAAAATAAAATAAAATAAAATAAAATAAAATAAAATAAAATAAATAGAGAGAGAGTCTCCCTATGTTGCCCAGGCTGGTCTTGAACTCCTGAGCTCAAGCGATCCACCATGTTGGTCTCCCAAAGGGCTGGCATTACAGGTGCAAGCCACTGCATCTGGCTTTAACCAAGTACATTCTAATACAACTTCTTTGGATTTAGGGTTTTGGGGTTTTCTTTTTCTTTTTTCTTTGCTCTTTTACATTGGTATATTTATTTTTAAATATTTTCTCATCAGCTGCTTTTTCCTAATCCAGAGAAAAACAGAGCCTGACTTGGCCTTTAGCAAATTAAAACAGGTTATGCTTCTATGAGCAGAGTTAAATGTGTTCCCAGAGAGTTGCCAGTGCCACTGTATTTTTGGTTATAGTTCTCTCAAGAGGACCTTTTAATAGCTCTGGAAGTAGGGGCAATAATCCTTGGAAACAAGACAAACCAGTTTTCTTCCCTCTACTCCACAATTCCCTTTTCCCTTTATACTTGAGGCAACTCAATTGGAAGTTAGATGTCATGAATCTTACATTTTTACTTGAAATTTCCTGCTGCTGACACTCATGTTTTCTTTTTTGTTAGAATCAAAACACTTAAAAAGTCAAACCTCCTCATGATCTGATCTCAAAGTACATTTGAATGTTTTTTGTTGTTGTTCTTTTTTTTTCCGAGACAGAGTTTTGCTCTTGTTGCCCAGGCTTTGAGTGCAATGGCACGATCTTGGCTCACTGCAACCTCAGCCTCCCAGGTTCAAGTGATTCTCCTGCCTCAGCCTCCCAATTAGCTGGAATTACAGGCACCTGCTGCCACACCCAGCTAATTTTTGTGTTTTTAATAGAGATGGGGTTTCACCATGTTACCAGGTTGGTCTCAAACTCCTGACTTCAGGTGATCTGCGCACCTTGGCCTCCCAAAGTGCTGGGATTACAGGCATAAGCCACCGCTCGGCCTGAACTGCTTTTTTTTTTTTTT